GTATATGTATATGGTATATGTATATGTATATGTATATGTATATGTATATGTATATGTATATGTATATGTATATGTATATTAATATGTATATGTATATGTATATGTATATGTATATGTATATGTACATGTATATATATGTATATATATATATACATATATATATATATATATATATATATATATATATATATAAATATGTGTCTGTATGTTATGGCATTGTACTCATATTATACCTGTTCGTGAGTTTGAGCATCACATTGATCCACTAACACTTCAGCCATGGTTGTGCATATGATACAACGACCTTTTGGTGTACGAGTTGTGCTTATGCATGTGTCACACTTGAGTCATGCTTTTGTACAATCATACCTGGGAGAGTGGATGATGGATCGTCCGGGCAGTCAGGGCTATAGTACGCACACAGCCGCGTGATAATCTTAGGCACCGACTGATATTGAAATACAGAAAACATGGGATCAGGATAAGGCGATAAGGACGCTATGCTACAAAATAGGTGCGTAGAGCAAGCCCGATCACAGGTGGAAGTCGCCGGAGGGGGTTAGGGTATAGGGTATATACACAAGTCAGGAAGCTTGGGCAATAGGTGAACTGAGTGATTATGGTAGCTCTGTGGAGGAGACAACGAATTCAAGCTTATGAAGCACTACTCAGGGGAGACTGTAGTGCCAGTGATCGTACATAGACAGTATGGGTTTGATGCCAAAACAGAGATATATGATTAGAACTATAGGGATCAGTGATAGAAAGCACACGGTGGCAAATAAAGATAAACAGAAATACACAAAACAAACCTACACCCGTACGCACATACATACACCGACACCGACGCATACGCATACGCATACGCATACGCATACGCATACGCATACGCATACGCATACGCATACGCATACGCATACGCATACGCATACGAATGCACCGACACAGATACAGACACAGACACAAACCTCTATCCACTGCGGAGCCTCAGACATATCTCTACCCAAAAACAGGTTGATGAGATCGCCAATCAAACCCGCCTGTGAGTGATCTACCGCTGCACGGTCCAGTACCACAGCGTCACTGCCGGTTGTTATATTTTTAGCCACCCGCTCGTCTCTTAGCAACGCCACCCTAGCAACGTTGCTGGCGGTCTCAAAGGTGATGAGGTACAACAGGCGGATATAGGCCGCGCACGTGGTACGGTGCAGAAAGGCAAGGGGGCACTATGGATTGGAAAGTAGTAGGAAAATAAGGATTGAAAAGTGGTCGGAGAAAAAGGATTGAAAAGTGGTCGGAGAAAAAGGATTGGAAAGTGGTCGGAAAAAAAGGATTGGAAAGTGGTCGGAAAGTAAGGATTGGAAAGTGGTCGGAAAATAAGGATTGGAAAGTGGTCGGAATTGTTCAAGACGGGATTCGAGAGAGAAGGGATAGTAGATACGTCTACATAGTATTACATAGTATTACACAGTACTATACAGTATTACTTAGTGTTAGCACATAGTAATACATACTATTGGATACTATTACATAGTAATACATACTATTAGACACATACTATTACAAACTAATACACAGTAATACATAATAATAGTACACGCTATTACATATATATATATATAATAAATATAGATATATATATATATATATATATATATATATATATATATCTATACATCTATATCTATATCTATATAT